CACACACACACACACACACACACACACAAAATTAAACCTTGCTGACACAGAAACACACACATTCTGAATGCACAGGACCTAGGGCATTTTTCTCACCTCAGAATGGCCTTTCCTTATTTATGCACACCTCTCTACCACTTCTCAGCAGTCGTATTTTTAAGCATATAGCTCTCATTTGAGTTGGCAACATTTAATTTACATTTTTGAGACCATCATACATTGTGCATAAAAACGGTCATCCATTTCTGTATGTGGAGTGTATTGCACGCTTGCTAAGCTCCACCATGAGAGTTCTGTAGATTCCTCCAGGATGTTTTGCAAACATGCTCATGCCAGCCATGAGGACTGCTGCATCCTGTTGGGTGTGTATGCCTCTCTTCCTTACTGACTGGAACCTCCAACACAATGCTAAATACCCTTGAGGAAAGCTGTTGCCATGTTGAAAGCAACATCCAGTCTTTTACTGGTAAGTGGAGCAGAACAAGATGTCTGAAAAGCCACTCATCAAGTTGAGGAGATATATGTTTTAATTGAGGCAGGATCTGACTGGCCTGAAACTTGCTATAGAGCACAGGCTGGTCTTGAACTTGGAGCAAACTTCCTACCTGAGCCAAGGATCATAGACACGTGTCATCACACTCGGCTCACTTTTCAGAAAACCATCAGCAATACTGATATTTGTCATATGCATTCTGTGCAGCTACTGAAATGAGCATGTATTTTTTTTCTCCATTGACTTGCTAATATGATAAATTGTTCAGGTGGAATTTGGATCTTTACACCAAACTTAGGTTTTTGAGATGAACAAGACTTTGTGATTTTTTTTAAAATTACATCTATTTCTGTGAGAGGCTACATGTGTATTTGCCACAGCATGTATATGAAGTCGGAGTACAATTTGTAGGGCTCAGTTCTCTCCTAGTCTGTGAACTCCTAGGACTCAACTCTGGCGGTCAGGCTTAGCCCCAAATGACTTGACCCACAAAGCCATCTCAATGGCCCCAACTTTGATATACTTGTTGAACCAGGTATATTGTTACAGTTAAGATTTAAGAGTATTTTGTATTTTTTCAAGATTTATTTATTGTATGTATATGAGTACACTGTTGCTCTCTTCAGACACACCAGAAGAGGCATCTCCTTTCAGATGGTTCTGAGCCACCATGTGGTTGCTGGGAATTGAACTCAGGACCTCTGAAGAGCAGTCAGTGCTCTTAACCGCTGAGCCAGCTTTCCAGCCCCTAGCATTTTCTATTTGTGTTCATGAGAGATACTGATGGTTTCTTCCCTAGATTTCCTTAGTCTGCTTAGAGGTCAGTGATGTTTCCTAAAGTATGTTTGGAATTTTGGAGCTTCTGAAACCATCTGTATAGAGCTGGTGGTATTCCTTCCGTGTGGTAGAGTTTAATGAAGCTATCTAGAATTCTGTATTGCCTTTTAGTAACGTTTTTTAAGTATTTAATTTTTTTATTCAATAATGGGGGTAGTCAGAGTTTTTGAGATTTTAGCAATTTATCTTTTAAGAAATTTGTTAACTTCACAATCTTCCCAATTTGTCATAAAGAGATTGGCAATTTGCTCAACTGGAGGTTTATCATTTGTAAAAATACAGGTTTTGGTTTCTTTAAATTTCTCTATGGTTGGTCCAGTTTATGTTTCATCTATTTCTGCTATTTTTCTAGCTTTTAAGAAACGGCTTTGAGGCATGTATCTCATACCATCCAGCTCACTTGAGGTGTAGCATATTTGTGTGGCTGTTACACGTCTTAGTTTTACTCGGATGGCTTCCTCATAGGATCACAGTCACCACTTGAAACAATGTCACCGGACATTTGCTTTTGGGACACAGGGTCTCTTGTATTCCAGGCTAGCCTCTAACAATGTAGCAGGACAACCTTGAATTTCTGATCCTTCCACCCCCATTTCTCCAGTGTGTGCAAACCGCCCCTAGTTCGCACAACTTAGAGATGTTCCCATTATCAGCTGAAGAAAAGCCAATCCCTTAGCTACCAGGTCTCCAATCCTCCTCTCTCCCTATTTTTTCTCGTTATATGTATGCTTGTTCTAGAACTTTGAACATACGGAATCATACACAGATTCTCCGTGACTCCAAGCATTTTCATTAGTCTAGAGTATAAAATGAAATTCCACAGTGTTCTAGTTTTATAAGGTGGATAGTTTGACTTCTAACGACTTTCTCCTAAGGCATTCCACTCCACTGTGGGTGTCCGCTGTACTTTAACAGGCTCCTAGGACACAACAGTAAAGGTAGATTTAAAAATCATAAACATTAGCTGAGCGTGATGATATCATCCCATCCCTGGGGGTGGGGGCTTACAAGTGTGTAACAGTGCAGGTGCCCAGGTATATGCGTGTGGAGGGCAGAAACTGGTATTAGGAGTCTTCCCAGACTTCTTTATGTTACAACAGGGACCTGGATTTTCTGACTGCTGGGTTGTCTGGGGGATTCCATCTCCACCTTACAGGGCTGCCATGCCTACCTAGCGTTTATGTGGGTTCTGAGGCTCCAAACTCCAGTCCTGAGCTCCCAAGCCCATATGTTCTTTCTCTTTCTTTCCTTTTTAGAAAGACTTATTTTTGTGTATAAGTATACTGTTGTTGTCTTCATGTACAACAGAAGAGTATCAGATCCCATTACAGATGGTTGTGGTTGCCAGGAATTGAACCCGGGACCTCTGGAAGAGCAGTCAGTGCCACTGAGCCATCTCTGCAGCTCATATACTCTTTTCTTGTCTAAGTATATTCCTGTTCTATGGTGTTGTTGCCAACGCCTTCTAATAATCTCATTTCCTCTTTTCTAAGTCATGAAGTTTACTTACTCGGCCAATTTTCCTTCTCTTTAAGATCTGGTAAATTTACAAGTTGTACTCATGTTGGTAATTCTTTTTTTTCAGATATACAACATCTGTTTCTAAACAGTACGTAGTTGTTAAGTATTTTTAAAAAGTTGTCTTGAGTCTCATTATGTAGCCCTGGGGGCTGAACTATGTAGCGCAGTCTGGCTTCCAAGTCTGGCATCTGTCTGTCTCTGCCTTCTGAACGCTGGGATTAAAGATGTGCACCATGCCTGGCTTTCCGTTTCTGTTGTTGCTTGTTTTGAAGATGCTCTCATCCCTTAGTCTTGTTTTGGGATTCTGTTGATGTTCAATGTTTGTCAATTCTCTTGAGTTCCATGATTTCAGATTTTTTAAAAGCATCTCGTGTTTACCTTCACCCACCCATTCAATTATAGATAAATATTGTTTCCATCTTTGGCCAAGAGGACTAATGCTGCGACAATCACAAACACAGATGGACAGATTCCCTTGCTTTCAATTTGGATGGCTTGTAAAAAGAATTAGAATGTAATACAATTGTGAAGTTGTCAAACTTAAAATTGTCATGCATTAGTACTTTTTATGGAGAGGACTGAGGGTTGAACCTGGGACCTTGGACATGTTCAACCATATTTATTTTTAGGTGTATTTAGGGGCTGGAGAGATGGCTTGGCTCTTGCTGCTCTTGCAGAGGGCCAGAGTTCAATTCCAAGCACCTACTTAATGGTTAACAACCAACTATAACTAGTTCCAGAGGATCTGATGTCTGCTTCTGATTTCCAAGGGCACCAAACTTGCATGTGGTACATGCAGACAAAACATTTGTTCATGTGAAGTAAATCTAAAGTCAAAGAGACTATTTAGATCACTTTAAATGTAGTATATTGCTGTACAGCATGCCCATTAAATACTAACTGCAATTGTCTCATCTCCGCCCGACACCATTGGTTCCTCTGGGTATCTTGTGTAAGTGGGTTCATCCAGAGTGAGCTGGCTGGACTGGCTTTGGATACTTTTCTAATGCACATGCCACCATTTCTCCACTCCCCTGTTTCTGGGCTGCTCCCACTTTATGGTGAGGACAAATTATCCTGTTATGAGCACAGGTATAAACATTGCAACTCTGCTTTCATCTCAAACCCAGAAACAGAATTTCTGGATGTTAACTTTGACAGGAAATCAAATTTTGAGGAACTTCTCCATAATAAGAGATCTCACACATTCTAGGCCGCCTTATTATCCCGACAGGACCCTGGGTCACTGCTGACTTCCTTAAAGGACCAGAGGTGGAGTGTCTCCTCACATGTTATAGGACACTGCTGCTGTCGACAGAGTCCCCACTTTCTCATCGGCACTCAGGGGCAGAGGCAGGCTGATGTATATGTTACCTTCCTAACTTATAAGCTACTTGCTAACACCTGTAACTAAACTGTTTTCTAGCTTTGAAATCCCCACTTTACTTGTAAAATCTGTTACTTTCATGTTAGCTAGAATACAGGGTTTGGGTAGTGGGAATGGAATGCAGGGACTCAAACTGTTGCTCTGTCTGAGCTATAAAACTAGCTTAAAAGAATTTGTTTTGCTTGTTTTTGAGATGGGATCTCTCTATGTAGCCCTAGCTGACCTAGAACTCACTATGTAGGCCAGGCTGTCTTTGAACTCAGAGAGATTCTTCTTCTGCTGCTTCCTAAGTGCTGGGACCAAGATATGGGCCACCATTTCCTCCTGTTTGTTTTTTTTTTAAAGAGCTTGGCTGTAAAATCAGTTTAAAGTGCTGAACTTAGTCTTTAATAATTTTTGGTAAAATCCTTGTGATAGACACAGCTCATTTTAATATCTGCTTTCCTAGAGAATTGAAACGAGCTGGATCCCTATGTAAAGAATTCCTTCAGATTCCTCCAGTGCACAGCCTCACGATCACAAGCCTGCTTCTGAATAGGAGAAACTGCAAGTGTCCTTACTGTAACAACTCATACCAAAGTGTCACCGTCTTGGAACAAAGTACCCAAAACTATATCCCAGGAGCCATGTTTTGGGTGACTAAATGTCTAACCATGAATATTAAATCGAAGCACTACACAATAAAGAAGGAAACCAGGACCGGCCTGTGAGCAGTACTCAACGTTTACACTTGGATTTAAACATGAAAATACCACACAGAGAGTTTTTTTAAAAAAAAAGATTTAAGATCATAAATAGGTCATTGTTATCATAACACATTTCAGAATGGAAAAAAACAAACATTTTGGCTTCTTATAAAACATTTCTTTTTAAAAAATCAACTCTGTCATTACAAGGACCTGTCCATTTTCTAACTCCCAGTCTCCTAAGGCACAGAATTTACTCAGAATGCCAACATGACCACCTGCTGCAGCTGGCACACACGGCAGGGACTTGGCACTTGGAACAGTCTCTGGACACCATCAGTCACTGAGGAAAAGGTCTAAGTCTGAGCAGTTGGTTGTGAGGCCAGTTCTGCAGGACTTTTTGATCAAAGTGATTTTCTCAAACTGGCTGAACTCACCAGTGGTGAGGAGGGCAATTTGATAGAAAGTGTTTCTTTAAATGATAGGAGCTATGCACGTGGACTGGAAGATGGATGGAGGCCCAACCCCAGGACCTGGCTGGGCCTGGTTAGCTATGCTCGCTCAGCAATCTGGAAAGTGCAGCAGAGGAAGAGCGGGGCGCAGGCATCTGCATGCCGAGAGCACAGCCTCACCTGGGCCACCAGCTCCTGAGATACGGTGAGATCTACCACTGGGTGTTTTAAAAAAAATTAACCAAAAAGCTCTTTTAAACAACAGAATTAGGTTTCTCATTTTAAATGTCCTGTATCCTGTGATAACTGTAAGTTTTACATAATGTGGTAATTGAGTGTTAATTAAAAAAAAAATCCACAAAATAAGTGATTGTCCACATACGAGAATGGGATGAGGTTCATGACCGAATTAACCATGGAGTGTTAGTCAGCTGTAAACTTCTGAACGTTAGGATCAGCCATCGTGCCTGGTGCGTTAGGACAACAGGAGCCAAGGGAAGCCTGCTTGTTATTCCAATTCTGACAGGGTGCACGGCCTTCGAAATTCTTGTCCACGTTCATGGAGCCATTTGTTGGATACTGTGAGAGGGAAAAAAGAATTTCCTTCTGATCCAAAAGCTTATCTATGGCAGTTTCAACACAGATAAAAAGTTTAAGATTACAACCAGGCAAAGGCAGATGCTGCATAAACTGGGCAATGTTGGAAACACCAGATTCATGGACGTACACCTAATGAGGCTTACAATGAGCTACAGGAGGCGCTGAGAACACAGTATGTTCACCTCTTCCAAGCCCTACCTCTAAACCCACAGGCACTGAAGGAAGATAGTTAACTCCTCTTTGGAAAAGAGGAATATGTGATCCTCTTTGGAATATGTGATCTTTGCTATCACATATTCATACTGTTGTCTTGGCTCCAAAATGTTTGGGTTTCCAGACAGAGTTAGAGAAACTCCGTATAGCTATGGCTGTTCTAGAATTCACTCTGTAGATGTAGGCTATCCTTGCATCCTTTGACTTAACCAAACTATCTGAATGAGGTTGGTCACCTCCCTGGTACCCAGTCTTTATCCATCAATTACTCAATTTTTCTTCTATTTTTGAGTCAAAACCTTTTGCTGCGGCTTAAGACTAGACCTCCTGTTGCCCATGCATACAATGGAGCAGAGCCTTCAAATCTGCTTTCCCTGTCTGCAGTCCTCGGCGCGGTCCAACATTTCACAAGCATCAGAATAGGTGAGGGGATTGTAAGACCTTGTGAACAGGTCTCCTTACAGTGGTTCTGTGATAACCCTCACTAGACTTGTAGACTGTGAGCATTAGAAACGTGGCACTGACACACTGAAATGCATACACTGGGTTAATATATATTAAACCTGTTTCTTTCTCAATTTTAGTTGTTAATGGGGACAATCCTATACCTGCATGGTCTGAAAAAGAGGGCCCCTTAAATTTTCCACTCAAGCCAGGTGCCCTAACCAAACCTATGCTGGCACTTAGCATGCCTTAAAAAGTTACTGCTGTGTGCTGAGGGAACAAAAATTAACCTCGGCCTTAGGAAGGCTCCATCGCCTTCTCCTCTTCCACCTTGGTCAGCAGTCTGCTCTGAGACATGCTCTGACTTACCCACTAGCACACAGTCTCAGATTGTGATCTTTGAGAGGGAAAGTATTAACTTTTCAACTAATGCTTCTTGGAACATCAACCAGAGAGGGAGCATGTACCTGCAAAGACAATCTCAGCTAAATGCTCATCTATGGGGTGCAGATTTACTCGGATCAGAGACAGGCTTGGCTGAACCTCACACGATGTGAATCCATACTGGCGAATCCACAGGAGAAAGCAGTTTGTTCTAAGGTATAGTTTCAAAGTGAAATGACTCATTTTTCTGAGAGTACAGGAACTACTTACCCCATTTGTTTCCAACTAGCACGGGACAGGCTGCATGCCGTGTACTGTAATCTCCTTCTCCACTGGCGAACAGATTATACCAGAAGACAGCAGTGCCCTGTGGGGGACAGTCCACCATCATCACTCAGTGAAACGCCAGGTTTCCACTTCTCACGGTTCTTTCTGTTCCTTCTATAGTACATATGCTGTACTAATTCTGTGAGTCTATCACTTTCAAATGTTTTCTTGATCATATGGAAGTTAATACCATAAAGTTGACCCAACCTTTACTTGGGGATGGATATACTCTGAAAATGTAGGTCACTGCCTGAGCCACTAACTGCAGGTACAGCTCTACCTCAGAGAAAGAGATGCAGCAAAGCCAAGCCCCACAGCAAACCATACTCACTTTTTTGGGCCAAACACTGGCTCCAACTTCAGGAAAAACAGTAGCGCCTCCAGCAGACACATCGCTCATCTATAAGAGAGACAGAGTAGAACCACTGAGAGGAGGCACTGGGCGGGGCTGATGCTGGATGGACCCTGGAGGCAGGCTTATGTATGGCTTTAGAGTACCAAACAGGAGTGACACCAAACCAACTTCATGAGTACGGCAGAATAAGTGAGTCCTGCAACCAAATCTCAAAGCAAACATTTAGCTGTTACTTACATAGAACAGCCACGTGGCAATTCTATTTCCTGTCCCAAGCTCTCTAAAAGCATCCGGCTCATCTTTCTGTGGATGAAACAGTGAATATATCATCAACAAGAAGGGAGATAATGTTTTACTCAAAACAAAACAAACAAACAAAAAAACCCCAAACTGTGACTATAATGGTATAGAATTCGGTACTGTGAGTTACTACTCCAGGGGCACAGTAGTAGTAATAAGTGGAAGAACACGCCCCAGTGCTGCCTGCGCCCACCGGTGCTCTGTTCTCACTAGCCTCTCAAGTGCTTGACTCAGCCCGTATACCTGCAAAATCATCGGAGAACATTGACTTTCCATCTGCTTTCTGACTGAGTAATAGTGTGCTCTCCTGTGGACCAGTGCTAGCGGAAATCAAGGCTGTAAGAAGGAAGGGTGTGTGCAGTAACAACCACTACAAGGGAGCCTTGTGACCGTGATACGCCTTGAGCACCACAGGACGACAGAAGGTCACCTGTACCAGAAGTGCAGAGCCATACAACAAGTAAGCAGGACTGGTGACATCACAGTGAGTGACGTGAATGTGCCAATGGCACACTCCTGACTGGGGCTGTGCTAGTTACACATCAACAGGCGTGTGCGTGTGCGTGTGTGTGCGTGTGTGCTGGGACAGGTTCACACAAGTGCCCCATACTCTTATTTGCTACTTAGTAGGAATCAATGATTATCTCAAAGCTAAGATAATAGATAATGTTTTAATTTTGTAAATGTCATTTTTGATGAGGGGTTTTGTTGTTTTCTGCTGAGAAGGCTTTTCAGGACCCCCTGTCACAACTGTCAATCAGGCAATGTGTTTTATACAAAGACAGAATCCACACAGATCCTCATCCTGACCACACCTACTCAAGCTCCTCTTCACTCTGGCCTCTGCTGGCCCTGACTTCTGGGTTTTTCATGCTCACCTCCCCCTCAGTATCTGCTCTCTCACGGGCTCGTCTTCCAGCCTCCCCTCGTAGTACACACTGTCCCTGCCCCTGCTGCAGCGAGAGCCCATTGCTGCTCAGTAAACTTCTATGTACTGCCCACAGCCGAGGAGCTTCCCATGTTCCCTCTGAACCTGAAGTTAAACCTGACCTCTCACTGAAAAGCCTCAGGACAGCTGCACCTGCCCCGCCCACGCTCATCACGCCTGTCTGTCTTAAACAAGTGTCACCGAGACTTCTTCTTCACACATGGAGCTCCCTAACCTAAGTGAGGTTAGGTACTCTTTCACTTACCCTCGCAAAGTCAAAATGGGGTTCATACTGTCCTCCAACTCCGTAATTTGCTACCTGAAGGAGAGAGAGAGAGAGAGAGAGAGAGAGAGAGAGAGAGAGAGAGAGAGAAAGAGATGAGTAAGAACTACTAACATTCCCACTCAAGGATGCAGAGTTTCCATAGCTTGGCTGAGGTTCTGAGTTCAACCCTAGTACCACAAGAGGGAAAACAAGATTAATACTCAGAAAATTCTCACAATCCCCATTTATATTACCTCTTATATAGTTAAGTAAACTATAAAAAAATTTTTTTAAAGTTTATATGTGTGTGACTCTTCATGATTGTACGTTTGCATGTGCACTGCATGTGCTGGAACCTGCGGAGACAAGACGGGGGTACTAGAGCAGGGCCCAGAGCAAGAGGGGGAAGGGAAGGGGAATAAAAAACAAAAAAAAAAAAAGAAGAAGAAGAAGAAAAGAAGAACCAAAACCAAACCAACCAACCAACTAACCAAAAAACTGATAAATACCAAGGAAGAAGATTACCACAGAATGAAAGACAATTTAAGCAGCTCATTCATACAGAACGTCTGCTTTGCAAGGCACACAGACCTCAGTGTTGAGTGTCACGCGGCTGCTGTGCTGTATTAACAGCATAAGCACACCACAGTTTGCTGCTAGTTCTTCATTTAACAACTGAGAGTAAAGTTGCACACCAGGATCATGCAGACAGCAGGGCCTGCAGTGTGTCACCTCCTTGTCTCCTGCGATAAACCTGTGTGACAGCCTACTAGAGGTGACAGGACAGCAGAGACAAGAGTGCTGACATGAAACTCAGTGCATGTGCGTGCAGGGACAGGCATGAAAGAAAAGCCGCTCACTGTCATCTGACAGCCTCTAGGCAAGCAGCTTGGGGAACCTCAAGATGGCAGATTAATGAAAAGGAGACTGTCCCAGGGGAGGAAATCACTGCAGGAGTGCTAGAAAACCCAAACTCAGGAGTAGGACATGTCACAGAGAATGCCACTCTAAAACTGTGACAAGGAAAAAAGTACATTCAAACTATTACTTTTTTAAACTAAAAGTACAATACTTAGTTCTCCGCATTTCTAATGTTTTAAATTGTCAAGACAAAGAGAGACAGAGACAGAGAGGTAGAGAGACAGAGACAGAGAGGTAGAGAGACAGAGACAGAGAGAGATAGAGTCATTTCAACAAATGGGACAATTTGATAATCCACTTGGAAGTGGTAAAACTGGACCCCACATCATAATACCACATGGAAGACACCATGCAGAACGGACCTCAGACTTGAATGTCAGTAGTAACAGAATTCTTTAGGGCCAAGGGTACAGTGTACAGTCGCGTGCTTAAGACCCGAGGTTCACTTCCTAGCACACTGAGAAAGAACACTGAAGCTATTACTACTATAATAAACCCGCAGCTAACTGTGGATTAGGTAGCGGTTTCTTAGGATGCCTAAAGGTACAGGCAACAGAAAGTGACACAGTAAAATGTCACGGGGTAGAGAGGGCTCAGGGGGTAGGAGTGCTTGCTGCGCAGGTGTGAGGACCCGAGCTCCCAGCACCCATGTTTTTAAGAGGAGGGCAGAGCTGTGCACACTGGTAATGCCAGCACTAGGGAGGGACGAGGGTTTGCAGGGGGGTAAAGGATCTTTGGGGCTCACTGAGACCCTGACAAGGACAGAAGGCAGAGGGTGACAGACAGAGCAGGACACCCAACACCTTCGTCTCACTTCCCGTGAGGAGTGCACATCCATGAACCACACATACAAATGAACACTTGTTCACCCCCGAGGACATGAAGACAGGTCACAGAGCCGGATTTAAAATCTGTCAGACATTTATCTGATAAGGGACTAGTATCCAGAATATAGAGAACACAAATGAACAGAACAACAGGAATGACTAACAGGCGTGTGAGAAGATGCCCAGTGTCATTACCCATCAGGGACACGCACGTGAGCAGGGAGCAGCAGTCCAGCTCCTGCCAGGCTGCACTAACTAACAGAGGAGAAGCGCTGTCAAGGAGGTGACAACTGCGACCTGCATGTGCTGCGCCCCCACCTAGGAAAAGAGTCCAGAAGCTCTTCAAATGTTAAGTGTGGGGTGCCACTTCACCCTCATCGGTACACACACTCACAAAATACACACGGGAACGTCCATGCTTGCTCCTACAAAAACTTGTAAGCAGACTTACGACAGCAGCAAAGCAGCAGAAGTGACCAAGCATCTACCACCGAGTGAGCAGCCAGAAGGTGACTCCACAAATGGATCACACCAGAAAAAGGAATGAAGTGGGGATACACGCTTCAGCCTAAATAAACCTTGGCCACACCACGCTTAGTGAAAGGAACCTGACAGAAAAGCTAGCTACGTACTAAGTAACCCCTATCAAAGTATTCAGAGGAAGTACATTCATAGAAGCACAGAGGAGCTAGTGGTTGCCAGAGGCTTAGGAAGAGGACTAGGAAGTTACTGTTCAGGGTGTGGATAGTTTCTTGCTAGTGTGATAAAAACGTCTGAAATTAAATCATAGTATGATGAGGTCACAATCAGATAACCACAGGTAAACCAAGGCAAACCGTATGGAATATGGTTTAAAGAACACCTTTAAAGAGCCCAAATTCATTCCAGTCATTCAACAAGTAGACTGAGTCTAGAAATTCATGAGAAAAATTAGGGACTAGTGGGATGGCTCGGTGTAAAGGCACGTGCCACCAAACCTGAGGACCCACAGTGTACACAGGTGTATGGATGCACATAGAATATAATAAAAATATAAATAATTTGAAAATTTAAGAGTATACTTAAGAGTAAGCTCGGTAATTCGTGTCTTTCATGTCCGATTGCATGATTGCTATGATATGCTGCAGCTGATTGCTATGTTCTTCGAATGCTTTGGCTTACAGGGTCACCGACGTCCTCAGGGATTCTACAAGTCAGCACTGTCTGTTCAGTGCCAGAAATCTAAAGAGTCTCGTGGAGATGTGGGGATAACGGAAGACCCTGGCTGCTTACCTGTAACTCCTCGGCTGTGGAGACATCCAGTCCTGTGAGATCCTGTATTCTCATATTAATTCGGGACACCACAGGGTCTTCGTAGCCAGACAGCCAAGCACTAGGACAAGAAATTGTTGGTTTTAGGGCCATTGCTTCATTAGATAAAACCCAATACCTGCCACTTACAAAGCAACACAGAGGACATTGAACGTTTGAATACCACACAGGACGGTGTGCATGCCAAACCAAGGCCCCTTTAAGCTTCCTTCTCATGCAGAGTTTCCCTGTGTGGCCCAGGCTGACCTTTCTCTCCAGCTGCACTTGCTTCAGTCTCCCAAGTGCTAAGATAACTGGTTTGCACTACACCGTACCCAGCCAGGACAATACACTTTCTCCTGGTCTGCTTGACTGATAAGAGTTTTACTAATACAGTTTCTTAGTGATGACACATTCTACGGTGAGAGGAAAGAAACTAACATCCCATGTTTCTGTGAAACACTGCATTAACATTGTTCATGCAAATTCATGTATTATTTGCTTATGTAAGTTTTACACATGTACTGCTAGCAGGACAGTGAAATGCTGCAGCCACTGGAGAAACAGTTTAGCATTTCTTCTAAATGTTAAACATGGTTACTTTATCACCAGAAATTTTACTGTTTAGACACTCAAGGAAAATTACATCGTAAAATGCAAAAATGTTCATAGCAACGTTATTAACAGCGAAAAAGTAACAACCTTAATGTCCATCAGTTATGAACAGACTCATTACAAATTCGGTGTATCTAAAAACATGGATTAGTTAATGGCATGTGTGCAAATGTTTAAGGATACTGGGGAAATGGCTGCGGATGAAGTGTCCTAGCCCCCAAGGGACAAGAGACTGTACCCTAGGACAAGCTGGTTAGGTAGACTAGCCAAATGGTAGACTCCTACCTAGTTCAGGGGAAAAAAAACAAAGCCAAAAAAACCAGAGAATGAGAAAGATTCCTGACAGCAACCTCTGTTTTCCACATGAATACATAGACACGTGCGCGAGTGTGGGCACACACACACACACACACACACACACACATAAATGTTACTTTATTAAAATGTCTGGAATTAAATGATGATTACACAACTCAAAGCACTTAGAACAACTGAAATCCACACTTTAGAATGGTGAATTTGACAGCTCTGGGTACATGCTTTCAATCCTAGGATTTAGGAAGTTGAGACAGTATTGGGAATTTAAAGCCACCCTGAACCATAGAAGAAATCCCTGTCTGAAAAATAAAACCTAGTACAAATTAAAAATGTAAAATCAAGGCAGGAGAGATGACAGCTCATCAGTGGCTGCTTCTCCAGAGGACCTAGGTTTGGCTCCTGGCACTCATACTGTGGCTCACAACTGTCTGTAATGCCAGTTCCAGGGGACCTGATGCCTTCTTCTGGCCTCTGCTGGCACCAGACATATCATATCACTTATGCACAAGCATACATGTAGGTAAAACACCCATATATAGAAACTAAAAACAAAAATTAAAATTTTTTAAATGTAAGGAGTGTATTTTATGACTTGGCAGCTGTACTTCACATTAATGAAGGTTCAGCAGAGGCTGGCCTTATGTGATAATATCAATGGGAGGGGAGGCCCTTGGTCCTGTGGACACTCGATGCCCCAGTGCAGGGGAATGCTAGGGCGGTGAGGTGGGAGTGCATGGGTGGGGGAGCACTATCATAGAAGCAAGGGGAGGAGGGAGGGAATGGGGGTTTGTGGAGGGGCAACCGGGAATGGGGAATAACATCTGAAATGCAAATAAACAAAATAACCAAAAATAAATAAATAAGGAGAGAAAGAGAGAGAGAAGGGGGGAGGGAGAGGGGGATGGTGGGAGAAAGAAAGTTTCCTCCAATGCAAGGCCTCAGTTAAACCTCAGAACTTAAATGAGCCAAACTCAAATGTGTTCTTCGTTTTGCTCCTGTCCATCAACATGGTCTTCCTTCACATCCCAGTAAGCTAGACTCTACAGTCCACTGTTTAATAGTGTTCTTGCTAAAAACCTAAACTGTTCAGAAGAAAACCACAATCCTACGTTATTTTTCTGCCTTTTTTCATTATATTTCACTTTGCAGTGCTGAGGATTTAACTTAGGACCTTTCAAATACTAGGTAAATATTTAACACTGAGGGCCAAGCCCCTACACTTTTTTATTTACACTAGCCACAAAATGAGTCAAGTATGTTCCAGTAAAGTCCCGTGACAGCAGCTTTGAATGGCGAGCCTGTGCTTCCTAACACGAAATGTATTACCCGAGACAGAAACTGACTTCTACTTCCTCACAGCCACAAGCTTTTAAAATGCCTAGTCATTGTCGCTTTGAGGCAGGATCTTACGTGGTCCAGGCTGGCCTTGAACTCCCAATCCTCCTGCATCTATCTACCTGCTGTAGTAATTCTATATGTAACATATCTTTCACTAAAAGTTAAACAGCCGAGGATCTTCCTTTTGGATGAAAGGTCTCGTACTTTCAATTAGTGTTTGCACGTTTTTAAAGCAACAGTCCTCTATTTTAAATAATCTTGCCTTTTCTTTTAACGTGTTTCTTAAAAGCATCACAGGGAAGTTGGCTGAGGAAGAAGCAACATCCTCACATAGCCTGTAGAAAGGAAGCAGGTGATGTTGGGGCCATTTTGGGGGCAGTGACAGACCTCCATGGAAGATGTAAGTAATACAATCCAAATCCTACCACAGCACAGATGTGGAAACAAACGTCACAACTAGCTATTATAAAACCAGTAGACTGTTCCTTTGCAAAGGGAAGTGGTAACTCTTGGCTTAAAGTACTAGTTCTCAGGAGCAACATCCCCAGTCTTTAACAATTCTTTTAAGTGCTGGATGACAAGCAAAGACTAGTCAGTAGGACTGAGACTAATGCCGTCTTGTAGGATAATTAAGCAATAATACTGTGTATCCACCTACTTTGATTCTCTTCCTAGAAAGACCATGTTCAACCCTTTAGAGGGCAGTGTTGTTACACATTGGGGCAGCTTTAACCAATCTGAAATCAGTCAAAATACTGCACTCTGGGTGGGAGTGGTGGTGCACACCTTTAATCCCAGCACTCCTTAGGCAGAACCAGGAGGATCTCTCTGAGTTCAGGATCAAGTCTGGTCTACACAGCAAGTGTCATGACTACATACAGATCATGACTACATACAGAGACTACACGTACCACCACCAATCACAGTTAGCCTAAACTTTTGTTTTAAACAGGTAGCAAACTTCCATGTATTCTTTGCCAAAAAAAATTCCATTTTTTGGAGTGCTGAAATCTTTTTTCCTTCTACAGAAAATGATATAATCACTTAGAAATGTCTTCAAATACAGATTAAATTCCTTTTTGGAATGTTACAAAATGCAGATGTTGTTAGAACAAAAGGGATTATTATATTAACATCAACACACACATATTTTTCTATGAAACATGTTTATCATAATTTAAAAGGGAAACAAAATATTGGTTTATTTATTACTTCAAAGTTTAATATAAAGTTCAAAATTCAGGTTTTCACAACTATGTCCAGCGTCTCAGACCTGTGCTAGGGTAGTCCTAAGTATCAGGGAGGCAGAGGCAGGAGGATTACAAGTTCAAGGCAAACTGTGCATGAGAACTTTAACCCTGTCCCTAAATGAGGTCCAGGGACCTGGCACACGGTGGAACACTTGTTTAGTACACAAGACCATCGGCTCACAACAAAGCAAACTTGATTCCTACTGGTGACAAGAAGCATCCGAACCTATCCATTTATCCATCAATGAAATTCCTCCTCTAATATTTTGTTAAAATAGGCTCAATATTCCCAGTAGGAAGCTCCTTTAATGGCTAAGCCCACTCCCCGAGCATATTTTAGTTTGATACAAGTTTCTTTAAAAATAAATATTTATTTGCAACTGGTTAGTCCACTCCTGGACTTGCTGGGTATTCCTTCTTCACATTTATTTTATAAACAAGTAAGCTTTCAAAAATGCAATCCATAACACTTCACTCATGAAAGTTAGTTTTTATTCTTTAACGTTAAAGTAGAACTACACCACTTCTCCCCTTTCCTCCTTTGGGAAAAAACAAAAGGCATTTAAGCATTCCTAGAAGCATCCAAAACAGGAGAACTTACAACGTTCACCGGCTTTACAGTAGTAAAAATGTCAAATCTACACACACGTCTCTGAAATATGGAAAAGACAGGGTCCCACTATGTACACCAGGCTGACTTCAAACTCACACAGATTCCCTGCTCTCAGCCTCCTGAGTGCTGGAATTACAAGCATACACAGCCATACCTGGCTGAAGGAGTTCATTGTTATAGATATGATTATGTTTCAGTAAGAGAATGGAAAGTAAGTTTAGATGGTCTGAAATGAAGATTGGTTCCATTTGCAGAAGCACCGTAAATCATATCTGAGAATATATCCACCTGAATTAGTTTCTGCAAGTCCTCACTATCTGTTGGCACTCCTTAAGGATACCTGTCCTGCTGACTAGATCCAGAGCAGACTTTATCCATGTTTCATGTAAGGGTCAGGACCTTCCACTCTCAAACATGGCAAGCAGGCTGCAGAATTCTCACCATTCTGAGACACAGAAATGGCAACAGGGTCTGAAGAAGTAGATCCAGTTACCATCCCTCTGGGTTATTATTGTTAGATGACATCACCGTTACCCAACCACCTACTCTATCAAAATGCAGTTTTCTACTTTTTTGGGTCTTTTTTCTCAAAGTCTTGAGTCATGAAAACTTATACTACATAAATTTCTGCACTTTTCTCTTGGTAATCTCTTGTTAGAGTGGTCTCAATCAGGAGCATATTAGGAATAAAAAGAAGAAGAAACAAAAAAGAAAAAAAAACACAAAAAAACAGAAACAAAATCAAAAAAACAAAAAACCCAAAGCATTCTTTTCTCCATATATTCACTGACACAAGAGTCGAGGAACGGAACGGGCAAGACAGAATATGTATGCCGATTTCTAAAAACGTATTTATTATTACTTTGCCAAAGAAAAAAAGCATGGCAGTGTTGAATCTATTCATCTAGCAGCTTCTTTACTTTTGCTAAACCAGTCATCTCTGCTTGTTTTCAGTGTCTTCTAAAGTCCTTGTTAAGATGCATGCACTGTTTCTTTATACTGTTTCTTAATTGGTATTTCAACTTTCAAAACAGCTTTGTTTCAAATTATTTCATCTCATTAGTCTGAAATGTTGATAATGTCTAGAAAACAATTGCTCTGTAATGTATTTAAATACTCAACACCACAGTGATCGGGTGCTCACTATTATCTGGCTTTAAGAACAAAACATGAGCAGGACCACCAAGGTGTCTGAGTGCTGCCAAGCCTGATGATGTCTTGAGTGTGAGCTCCAGGGTCTGACTGTGCAGACCAGGCTGGCCTCTGATTCCTGAGTGCATGCACCATCATACTAGCTTACCAGCTGCCCTCTGGTCATATATGCACTGCATGCTGCACGTGTGTAACCATACACATATACATGCATCCACACAAACGTGCATATGCACACAAACGCACAAATAAAATGTAATCTAAAACGTTTTTTAAAATGAGCACAGTACTCGGAGATCTCACACCATCTCTCCTCCCTGAACCCTGAACTTGCATTTCACTGACTTCTCGTCAGTGGTTCTCAACAGAGGGAGAGGGAGACGGCAGAGGGGAGAGTGGAGGTGGTAGTCCTACCAAGGAACAAAGGGTCTTGTCCTACCAAGGCACAGAGCAACTTTCTCTACACCTTCCTCCTGTTGTGACATGTAGCGAGTGCCGGAGATGCTGCTAACCTTGCTCAAAGGCCACCACCAACAAGGAACGACCGGATTCAAATATCAACTGCCAATCATGGTGGCACGTGCCAACAGGCAAATGCTAAAGACAATAAAGCAGGATGGTCATCAAGTCAAGTGCTAACCTGGACTACACCTTAGACCTTAGACAGAGGACATATTTCAGTGGTAAAGTGCTTGCCTAGCTAGGAGAACCCCTAGATTCAACTCCCAGTACTACAAAGTAACAATTAAAAAAATCAAAGAAAAAAAAAAGAAAAAGTATTATATACAGAAAAGTTTTTTGTTTTTGTTGTTTTGTTTATCTGTTTGTTTTGTTTTTTTGAGATAGGGTTTCTCTGTGTAGCCCTGGCTGTCCTGGAACTCACTCTGTAGACCAGGCTGTCCTCGAACTCAGAAATCCGCCTGCCTCTGCCTCCCAAGTGCTGGGATTAAAGGCGTGCGCCACCACTGCCCAGCTCGGGAAAGGTTTTAATATCAAAAATGTTGATATTGAGAAATCTTAATCTAGAATCCTAATCTTACATCAAAAAGTACATTCATCACAGTGTAGTTCTCTAGTACAAGACTACTTATATAACTGACAAAACATAAATTTCCTGTTACATAAGTGCTCATCTTAAAAACAATTATCTTCAGGGATAGCAAAGTAGCTCAGGTACAAGATCATACCATGAAAACTTGAGTTCCATCTCCATAAAAACAAACAAACAAACAAACAAACAAACAAACCTCACATCTGGTCAGGCAATGGTGGTTCATGCCTTTAACCCCAGCACTGGAGAGACAGAGGGAGGCAGATCTCTATGAGTTCGAGGTCAGCCCAGTCTACAGAGTGAGTTCCAGAAAAACTAGGGTTATAAAAAAAAGTCTCAAAAAATGAAACAAAACAAAATGTCTGTAATTCTAGCCCTCCTACGCAAAGATGAGAGGTAAAGTCAGGAGACTCGGTCACCTGGAACCTCAGGGGCCAGCCAGTCCTGAGTACACAGCACGACACACATAGAAAGCAAGACCATGCTTCAACAAGGTGGAAGGCAAGAACAGATTCACAGACGCAGAGAACCTCTGACCTCTCTATGCCCACTGCGCCATGTGCACACCCAGATTCACACATACTCATCAAAAACACCTTTAAAACAATTTCAAAGAATAGTAGCTTCCAATTGAGTTATTTCAGCTATTATTATACACATTAATCTAAGCATCTGATTGCACAATTACTATCAATATAGATAACAAGATAGGCAGCGTATAAACTTAAATGTTTATAACAAGATTATCTCTATAACTGTAGCATCTGTGGAAAAAGAGTAGTTAGGGTTAGACCAAAACAATTCAGCGCAATGATATTTCTGTTTTCACTGTCTGGTCTGAGAAGCCTTTATCACGTGAGTCAACAGAGAGGTCGACGCTGACTAACTCACTCAGCCCCTAACTCTGAGGTACGCAGCAGCTAAGTTGCACCATGGTTAACTCTAAGTTACTTCTAAAAGTAAGGGATTTTAAACTGACTTGTAGAAGCTTCTTTATCCTTCTAGGTCTTTCCTCAACAGCTCCTAGTTATGTGTAGACTAGCCCCAGCTTCATGGAAGAGTTTGCCTTGGGCCTAGCTCTGTGCAGAGCCTTTTAGAAGTTCTTCCCTATCAGTTAGCACTGCCAGAGCCTCCCCAGGCATTTTATATTAGTGACTGGAAAATGCACAGAACTGCCTGTGTCTGTTTATTGGTCCATCATCATGTATCTTGTCAAGAAAGAGCACTCCAAATGGGCCTCAAGTTCTGTCCGCTCTCCCTTACCTCTTAGATACTCTGTACTGTGCTGTGGTCAGTTTCCCCGTCTCAGGGTCATGTACTGTAGCTCGGCTCAGCTACAAAAAGAAAAAAGAGAAAGGACAAGGCTTACACTCCAGCAGGCCATCTGGGCTTTGTTCACTTTGGTTTGCCAAGCCACAGGTGATTGGAAGGATTCAAATTGGTCTGCGTGGTGGGTAATGGTTCGAATCAGCAAACACTCAGAAAGGTGGCAAGAACAGCCACTTCTGCGTCAGGAGAAGACGGTTGACAGAATTTGACTGTAAATGTATTTATTGTCCTTTCACTTTTTTAAAACTAAAACCCTTTGAGGCTGTGTGTCAATGATTTGGAGCAGTGAGTTTCACGGGAGCTCTCCCAAGTCTAGAAGTTTAATGCTTTAAATATACAGCAACAAGCATTCTAAATTAGTTGATCATTTTAAAACTTTCATCAAGACAAACGGTTTTTCCTCTAACCAATCCAAGTCAGCAGAGGTTAAGAAGTGGTTGTGAAGGCCACATGCAGAAGCATAGCCTCGCTCTCCACAGCCAATTTTTGGGCCAGTGACTTGGTTTTCTTTTTCTTTTTTTTTAAAATAAAATACTTCAGATCAGATTACTCCATAGTGACAAGGACAGACTGGAGATAAAGACAACAGTGGACAATCACCACAAAGGAAGGTGTGTGTGGCACTCCAGTCTGGATGAACCACTGCTTCTTTTTCTCTCTTTATTTCACAATCTCACAACAAAGGGAAAAGAAATGGACCAGGCAATTTCCTGAGTGCTTAATACCTGATCTTAAAATACAATGCACTTAGTTCCTGAAACCTGAGAGCAATCAGATTCAGAACAGAACTTTTAGTCAAGGGAAAGCCCGTGAAGCCCAGAGCACTCCTCCACGTGCTGCTCTGAGGTGTAAGGCGGCCACCTGAGCTGGAGACTGGAGATGAGCACTTCTGTTCACAAAATTCTGGTAGGATGTTCAAAACACTCATTAGGAGGAAAAGTATGCGCATCAATCTTACCTTTTGCTAATTCTGTAATGTACCGTCTCCAAGGCTCCTGTTACGGGGTTTGAAATGGTGGCTCGCCTCAGCTGTGAAGCCAACCGTCAGAACAGTTGCATTACAAGACAAAAAATGATCACGTTTACCTAACCAGCCAGAATGCTGGGCTTTCTTTTCTTTCTTCTTTAAACAAAAGAGGGTGAACAGAAAATAATTCAAAACCCTTCCAATCACCTTGTGTTGAGCCTTGAAAGCCAGTTAGTTTTGTGTTTCTTAAAAATTATTTTACTTGCTTTTCACTGCATGAAGAGGCCACACAAACAGAAAAGATTGGAATTAATTTCCTCAGTGGAATAGAACATTGATAGCATGAAGAAAAGTTTCTAAAATGCAAAGTACTATTTATAGTTATAAGATTGGCCATTTGTACTTAATTAATCATTGACTCTAAAAGCGTGGACTGTAACTCCAGTGACAACATGATTATAAGGTCAATATTGTCTAAAATTTGTTTTAAGGTCATTCTTTTCTCTTTTCAAGAGATAGTATGTACTCAACCGTATGTACAGTAAAATAGCCTGTGTGCAGCCACACAGGTGAAAGGAATGTACAGCGGTAACAGAAATGCTGACAGCCAAGATAATAGAAACACTTTTTTTAAAATGGGAGAGTGATGCTGAAATAACAGAAAAATTAACTTTCATTGCCAATAAATTTACTGATCAAAAATAACCGCAACTAAAAAAATTCCTATGAAGACTGAGGCCTTCCATCTCAAAAGTGAATTCTTAACAAATATTATACCAAGAAATACTGGTAAGTTGGGTCTGACTATAAATAAAGAACTGAGTTAGGAATTCTAAAGAGAATGAGAAAATATGGAATGATTTTAAGAGGTGTTCTGGTTGGCGGCCGATTTGCTAGATCCCTGGACAGCAAAGCACCCAGCATCATAAAACTGACATTATTTAAGAAAAAAAAAGTGTTAATTTGGAAAAATAATAAAATTTTTAAAAATTTCAAACTCTACCAGCCAAATAAGCTGCCACCAGCTTTTTAGGAATAAAATCTTGATTGTTCCATAACCACCTCATTTATTTTCCTGTTTTCTTTGGCTGCCTTTACACCAGACGGCAGAACTGAGCAGTCGTGACAAGAGACCACACAGCTGACAAGGCCCTCAAGAACATTTACTACTTCAGCCTTTATAGAAAACAGATCAACCCCTACATATTACAGAAGAAAACTAATAATCAGAATGTATTTAATAATCTCTACAAAATTTTGCATTTTATCTTTAATAAGATGTATCATCTTGTTTTAAAGGACAAGATGACAGGAAAAGGCAAGGACAGAGAGGTAGTCTCCATACTCACACAAAAGATAAGTTTCTATGCCGAACACTAAAGTGTAGGATTAGGTGTAATTCACATTCAGCTATTTTTCTTACTAACACAGATTGAGGGGGCAGGAGAGATGGCTCAGCAGCTCAGAGCACTGGCTCTTTCAGAGCACTGAGGTTCAACTCCCTGCAGCACATGGCAGAACACAGCAATCTGTAACTCCAGTCCCAGAGGATCTGACCCCTCCAGCCTCCATGGGCACTGCATTCACATGGTGCAGACACTCATGCAAGCAAGACGCCCTACACATAAAAGAAAAATTTAACAATATAATAATAAACTAAAAATCAAGAAATTATAATACTATTTTAAAACTAGCAAGATATCTATTCCTAATTATATTTGTCTAATATTATGCCTAAAGAAAAATTATAATACCTGGATTATTCATTCAGATAAACAAATACTAGGTATAAAAAATTGAGCTTTGTGTGGTACTGAGAGCTATAAACTATGTGAAAGATCTTCCAGTGAGACAGCAAACCGCAGACTCCTGTGTATGAACACAGACCTATGGTTTTCATTACTCACTGTTTCAGGCCCAGCTACAGGATGTGCTACTTGTGTTGGTAACTGCTGAGACAACTAGTGTAAACTATAAGCTGACAGCGTTGTGTTGAGGCAGTAACAGGTAAAACCCCTAAAGTTATGGCAACCTCAGTGATCCTTCCTGTCGCCTTGTAAAGAAAAGATTAACACACACATTCGGTAAACTGAGAAGAAGAAAAAGTTACCCTTGGTTTTGCTAAATCTTTGACAATCTCAATTTCTGCGTCAGAGATGATATCATGGAAACGAATAATCCGAGGCTTGTCCCACTCATCCTCCTGCTTGGCTGGAGCCAGGATGAATTTAGGATTCCGGTTTCCGTCATGGTAGCGGCAGAACAGCCTTTTCTGTCTCCGGGGAGTCTACAGGTAAAGAAAGCAATAAATGTGTAAGAACAATAGCTCAGCGTCCATTTGTATGTGAGTTAGAAACAATAACGGTGCTTGTGCGTGCACACACACACACAGACCTCACACACACAGGTGACCTCTAGAACTGCACACAAAGCAGCAGTGCCCGGTACATATTCTGCATCAAACCAACACGCATTTTCGATCTTTAAAATGTCATCAATGATTCTTAGGGTTTGGGGCGCAGTAAAAAGCAACGGTGGCAGAGTGGTCACCTGGCTTATCAAAGGCACTGGGTTCAATCCCCAGCACTGAAGAAAATAAGAGTACTTTCCGGGGAAGAGGAATGCCTCAATAACAAGCAGAAGGTCAAACTTCCATAATGAATAAGATACTGAATTTCAAGCCAATAATTCTCGATATAGAAAATCCTGGGTTTCCAAAACAGAGAGACACAGTTCACCGCTGGAAATCGAGAACTAACTGGACATTTGATATTATTATATAACTTCTATAAATGTAAAAAGATATGATAATGGCTTCTAGTCAGTTTGAGTTCTTATCTTTAAAGACACAAACTATTAGAGTTTGACTCTAGATTGATCCTAAATTCTCGGCTTGGTCTCTAGCCTGTGGTGTGATTGGTAGGTGGTAGAGCTTTTAAGAAATGGGCTTGATGGAAAGTCACTGGGGTGTGCCCAGAAGGTGACACTGTGAATCCCATCCCTGTTGCTCTCTGCTTCTGAGTTGCTGAGGACCAGTAGTTCTGCTCTAACACACACCCTCTCCAAGACGTCCTGCCCTGCCACGGGCCCATTCCAGAGAATGGAATGCATTATGGACTTGATATCTCTGGACCTGTGAGCCTGAATAAGGCTCCCCTCCTTTAAAGCCATCTTTCTTGAGCACGTTATCAGGGACAGGAAGGTGCCTAGCACACATGCTAGCTACACTCTAGAGAAGATGTGAGTGGAGAAACTGAAGGAGTCTAACAAGGTCGACTTATCCTCGCGTCGCTCACCAGCTCCCAGAGTAAAAGCAAACGCTTGTTGCTAGGAGTCAGTCTGAGGACATGTCCCCAATACTACGATGATGTACACCTGCAATTAGCGATTGCTTAGGCTGTCAACACTCTTCAATGTCAAGACAGAAAGCCTAACTTTAGCTCCTTGGTAGAGAAAAAAATTTAACCTTCACAATGTTCCATTATCAGTTACTTTGGTGAAATAATGTGATGCACTTTCATCCATAGGAAGCACACAGCATACTGTTTTGTGATTTCTTACCACAGAGACTACAATGTAAAAAGCTTTGAATTCCTCTAGCACTATGTACAAACACAGTAGCCCGCGCGCGCACACACACACACACACACACACACACACAAATTGACTTTTTCCACTTTACCATTTTGATACCCTCCCCACGGCACAGCATTTCGTACTTCTGTCTTTCTGGCAGGTAATCCACAGCAATCCCTTTTTTCTTTGGTGTAGTTTTCTGATCAGATTGGTCACCCAATGCAGACTTATTGGCATCTTTTTCTTTACTCATTATATACTCAAAATATACTAAGTTCCCATTAGCTCTCTGATGTTCGGGATCTAATAGAGAGAAATAAAGTGTGGGTATAGTCAAGGTTACAGTTGTTCAATCATCAGAAAACAGCAATATAAACCATTTATATTACATTAGGTTTAACGCCTAATTAAGATGCTTTTAAGAAAGGAGGCACTAATAGTGCCAAAGTTATTAGTGACAAAACAAGATGTAAACCACTGCCATCCAGTCAATCAGGACATGTAGTTGCCTTGTATAGAAACAGCTCTGGTGACAGAACAGGTCTGTATCTTCAGGCAGTAATTACTGTTTCTGCTTTGAGAATTTTATTAATCAGCCCCAGAACAATGTTCAGTTTAATGTCAAATGGACACTTTAGAGTCTTAGCTGGGTGTGGCAATGCATGCCTTTACTTCTAGCATCTACGAGGCAGAGACAGGAGGATCTCTTAGTTCAAGGCCAGCCTAAGCTACACAGTGAGTTCCTGGATAGCCAGGAACACACAGAAAAACCCTGTCTAGGAAAAAAAAAAGTCTTACTCATCTGTGTATTTTTTTTATTATTTATTTTATATGTATATGAGTACACTGTAGCTGTCTTCAGAGGGCATCAGATCCCATTACAGATGATTGTGAGTCACCATGTGGTTGCTGGATTTGAATTCAGGACCTCTGGAAGAACAGTCAGTGCCCTTAACTGCTGAGCCATCTCTCCAGCCCTCATCTGTGCATTTTAAGTAATGGCTAAAAAGATAATTTTGTGGCTCCAAAGTAATCACTATGATACAGACAACATGGACCAACCACTTCCTAACTCACTCTCAGCACAGGCAGACACAGACCACGCGCATCCGAGGGCTGAGTACATTCAGTTCCATGCTCCCAAGTAAGAAGAAAAGAGGAAACTGAATATATAATTTTCAAACATGCCAAAATCCACTAACTGCCTCGGAAATTGCTACTGATAATTTTTAGCTACCTTTTAGTAAGGAAAAACCAATCCAACCAACCATGCGCAGAACAAAGAGAGCAGGAAGTTGTGGCATTAAAGTGCTAGTCTATAAAGTATTTCTAGTTCTTCTGAAATTGCTTGAAATGTACGTTATGATACGTAATAAAAGTCTAATTTTGGAAGAGAAAAAAGTAGGTGTATAGAAACGGAAGTATATACTACTACAAAACAAAAATAGTTGATTCTGCTTTTTCTGTATTAATAACATTTTCTAGATTAAATACAAAGTACAATTTAAATCAAGAGAAAAATAACAGGAAACAAATGTTATTTGAATTAATATCTTGATTCATTTACCTAAGAAGTAAATCAATTATCACAAAGTCCACTTTCAGATGATTGATCTTTTTGAGCAGTCTCAATTTCTAACATCTAACATCTTAATTGTAAAATAATTTATTAAATATTCTTTCTTCACAATGAATCACAGGCTGCCAGAATTTATTATTTTATACATTCTGAGACCCCACTTCCAAAGACTGCAGCATAGCAGGTCTTGGGGTGCAGTCAGAGAAATGGCTCAGTGGTTAAGAACACTTGTAGCTCCTGAAAAGGGTCAGGGTTCCGCACCCACAGGCTGCCAAGGGGTGTGACACCCTCTTCTGTCTGGCCTTGCTGATCACTACACATACGTGACACACCTACATACACACAGACCTTTTGTTTTTTAACTGCCATATCATTTTTCTAACATTTGACTATGAAATGCAAAGAAGCAATAATGTGTTTTTCAAAGGAAAAGTGGTTGGGAATTACTCTGACCACTTGGGTAAGTAAACATTTTCAACTGAGTTCCTCATCGAAGCTTGACCCTATTTCTTATTTACTTGTTGGTTTTGTTTTGTTTTTTGAGAAAGGGTCTCACTGTGTAGTCCTGGTTGCCCTGGAACTCACTACGTAGACCAAGCTGGCCTTGAATCTACCGCCCTCTGCCTCCCAAGTGGTGGAGATTCAGGGAGTACACCACAACTGTCTGGCTAGTTCCAATTTTCAAATTCCTGGAGAAACAAAGCAACATCAGAGAACACAACAAGCACTGTGATGTATCAGGTGAAAACTTCAGCTACTATTTAATCTGAAAGCAGGCATCGAGAGAACAAGCATGTCTTCTGATGACTGGTAGACTTCTTATAGAAATGCATGGCTGGCTGTGGTTGGAGGGACAAGTAGATATACAGATAAGACACATCCCCAGTAGAACTAATGTAAATTAGGCCAGATAACATACCTAGTTCAAGAAGCTTCTTTGTCAGCAAAAGTGCCTTATCCAGGTCTCCCTGCTGGTACACTGCATAGCTCAAATAATCTAGAACAGAGACTTTATCTATGGTAGACACCTCTCCCTCCTCCAGCTGCATCAGAGCCTGTTCCATCCACAGTTCTGTGTGGTAATAATCTGCTTCTGTATAGGCCACTTTGCCCAACTCAAAGCAGTCCTCGGCTGTTAGAAAAGACTTGTGTTGCACGCCTATAAAAATAAAACAAAACAAACAAACCCAGAGTATTAGCAATCTCCATATTGTACTATATAGGATTATATAACTTTCCAAGTACTACTTCACTTTCATTTGAACATTGAATTATTTGTCCAGTTGGAAGAAAAGCCAAAATTAGCTGGGTGTGTTAGCACACACCTTTAATCCTAGCACTTTGGAAGTAAAGGCAAGCAGTGAACTCAGTGAATTCAAGACCAGCCTGGTCTAGTTCCAGGACTGTCAGAGCTATATAGAGTGACCCTGTCTCACATAAGTAAGTAAATAAACAGAGAAAATTTGCCTAATTTCATAAACAGACAAAACAACATAGCATGAGAAGGATTACACAGCTGGTACAGAGGATGTGTCTGAATGTGCATGTCTCAGAGTGTGTATGTGTTTTTTGTGCTTTAGGGGTAGGGATGGCTTTTATTCTGCCTATTTGTTTTGTCCTATTTTGGTTTGTTTTTATTTAATGTTTTTTAGATATCTGTATTCTAATGGGTCAGAGAAAGAAAGGATGTAGACTTGGGTAGGTGGGGAGTGGGGAGGATCTTGGTGGAGATGAGAAACAGTAATCAAAATATACTTATAAGGGACAAAAACTACTTTCAACAAAAAAAATAAAATGGCAAACAAAACATTGCTGTTATATTTACACATTATCCTTGTGAGGGAACAAATCTACGTACAGTGGACAGGTTTTCCTACCTCAACCTGTAATTAAAACAATCCCTGACAGGCAAGCCCAGAGACCTATCTACTCTCAGGAGATTCTACTTTGGTCAAATTGACAATTAATACGAACCAGAAAACTGATAAAAGAAACAATTCCTGCATGGTCTGACACTTGTCATGTGCCCAGGCTGGCTTCAAACATGACAATAAAGTTTCAATAGTTAGAATTGGCAGGGGACATATTTAAACCAAGGCAGATATCAAAATCCTAACTTCTTAATAGTTTAATGTGCTATAATTCCAGAAACCAAAGAATCATATTAAAGTTTGATCTTCATTACCGTGCTACTGGTGTGGGTCTAAACGGAGCTCACGACTGAGTCAGCAATGCTGAGTGCTTTGGGGCCACACAAAGCACATTAGGGGAAGCACACATCCACTCACAGACAGCCCAGTCACATTCGGTAAATGACTCCATATCCCGACCGTGTTGTATGAACAAGCTACAGGGCAGAAGATCTTCAGCTAGTCTGCTGTGGTAAAGTGATTCTGAGCTACTCAAAATTATTACAGAAAATGTCTGGCAATGTTGGGTTTTGAAAAACAAGTTAAAAAAGAAAATCAACAGCATCTGAAAATGAGAACATTCCATAGTGGGCATGAAGGGAACAAACAGGCAAGAAAAAGGGAGAAATAATCCAAGCCCTAAGAGGTTTGCTTACCTCTCTAGCTTCATGTCTCACTCCTCTCGCAAACCAAACCCCACTCCTAACTGATGCATGCTCCACCGGAACTGTGTGTTACGCCATACAGTACCTGTTACTGAATGACAGGCTCTCTACATAGACAGGCATTTACTGTGTTGTTATCTTGAGAACATAAGTGCCTTAGCTGACAAAAGTATTGCCTTGCTTAGTATATAATCTTGTGCTGGTCTTACTAACTGTATATATGACATAATTAATGTCTATTGAATGTGGGGTTGTAAACCAGAAAACAATTTTAAATGTTTTAATCTTATCAAATGTTATGATGCAGTGCTAATACAAACAGAAAATTAATAAATACATAAATCTGAATACTTATGCAAGTATTCTAGTTTATTTTAAAAACGTACTTAACATAATATATTAAATTTACCAGTCGAAGACTTATCCCAAATGAAGAGAGATGCACAAGAAAGTATCTTCATCAATAGCCATCTGTCTTATTTTGTTCCTGAGAAACCCAATTTCAGTCTGACCAGAGGCAACACATTTTATTTCTTCCAGTGATAATGAAAGGCAATGATAGAAGCAAATTTCCATAAAATCAAATGGAACTTAAAACTTTTGGCCCAAATAGGTCATGTACTATATATAATACATTGCTTCATACTACAGACCTGTTTTTAAATTAAAAAGAATTATGTGTATGTGTACCCTGCCTGCATGTATGTTTATGTACCACATATGTACATAGTGACATGGAAGCCAGAAAAAGGTATCTGATCCCCTGGAACTGGAATTACGGATGATTATATGCTGTCTTGTGTGTGCTAGGAATTTAACCCAAGTCCTCTGGAAGAGCAAACGGTTCATACTACAGAACCTTTAAATATTTGTCCATATTCTGAACAGCTTAGCTTTCAGTTAGTAAACAAACATTTTGATGATTAATCATCTTATAGTTTTATATACGAATCATTTAAGAAATATCAGATGTTCTAAAAGAAACACTGGAAAAATGATTTTTCTTATATACTAAAGTTCCTTCCTTAGGTTGTTCCCAGGAGGCAGAGGCAGGTAGATCTCTTTGAGCTCCAGGCCATCCACGACTAAATAGAGAGACACTGTCTCCAAAAAAACAAAACGAACAAACAAACAAAATAAATAAATAAAAGCTACAGTTTAAAAACATTAAGATCCAAAGCCAGGTATAGTAGTGTATGCCTGTAATCCCAGACTCAGGAGGCTAAAACAGGAGGACTGCCATGAACTTGAGTTTGAGGCCAGCCTGGACTGCAGGGAATCTTGCTATAAAATTATATTCCTTCTCCTCCTCTGAGGGAGAGGGAGGGACACGGGAAGGAGCTGTGTGAGGGAGAGACTGACAGGAGGCAGGGCTGATATTGGGATGTAAAGTGAATAAATAAATTAATGAATGAATGAAAAAATTACGTTTTCCTAGTGGGCTGGAGAACAGCTAAGTGGCAAACATATCCATGGATGGAAGCATCCTCTCACCTGGAAGATTACCCTTTGAGATGGTGTTAGTGTCCAGATTGTAGGTGTCCTGCAGACGGAACAGAGCTTTAGCTGCCCCAACCTGATCTTCATCATTAGGGAAGTACTGCCTCTGGATGGTCAGGTTAGAGATGAAGCCTTGAAACAGAAAAACATTGAGTATAAAAATATCTTCTTAGTGTTCTACCTTACCATGAAATGTCTACATTTACAAGAAAAACCCAACAGACCATTAACTTCAGTTCCTAGTCCCATTAAAATGTGAGCAATGTGAGGTCACTACAAAAATTACATCCAATTACTAAAGACCTAATTACCAATAGTAACTACTAAGATTAATTACTAACAGTAACTGCTTTTATACAAAATAACAAGGAAAAAACAAAAAACCCCAAAACCACCCAGAGGCCAGGATGGTAGTACATGTGTCTGAACCAAGAACGACAAAGACAAGAGTATGATAAGCGTGTCAGGCAATCTGGAATACACAAGACTGTCTCAAAATGCCCAAGGAAGCCAGGCAGGCTGGCACATGCCCGTAGTCCCAGCAGCACATGGGGACAGAGGCAGGTAGAGTCTGTGAGTTCCAGGCCAGCTAGTGCTACACAGTGAGACCTTGTCTAAAAAAATACACAAAGACACACAGAAACAGAAAACAGAGCTGGTCGATACAGGTCAATGGTAGAGTATCTGTCTAAAATGCACAAAGCCAGGGGTTCTATCCTCAGGACCCTTTCCCTGACAGACACAACTACAGGATTTATATAAAATATAGTAAAATCAAACTAACAAATAAATTACTTAAGAACTATACGGAATGGATTAAGAACACTCCTTAAAAACACAATATCAAAATGTGGTTTAGAATTTAGTAACACAAATGTCACCACTGTAAATACTTTCATTAACTTTCTGTCAACTCCATGTACATGTAGTTAAACTAGTGGAACGTATGAGTGAAAGATAGCTGAAAGGACACTGGCACTCCTATCAGTATTTTCTACTTTAGGCCAACTCTAACAATTTCCACAAGAAATCCTTCAAGCAAGTTTTACAGAAGTCTATAGAAGTTTCTTTTTCCTTTTAAGTTTTTTTTTTTTTTCCAAGACAAGGTCTCACTAGACCAGGCTGGCTTCAACTTAACAGAGATCTGCCTGCCTCTGCCTCTTGAGTGCTGGGATTAAAGGCATACACCACTCCACCTGGCTCCTATGTTTCTTATGAATCAAAACAAAACCAAATATGCTGCTTAAGTTAAAAGAGAAAAATGTATATGCGATTAAATATATATATATATACGTATATATATGTATATATATGTATATACATACATATACATATACATATACATATACATATACATATACATATATATATAAATTTTCCCATATGTAATTATGGGATGACTGCCACACAGAAAAAAGAAATGGCAAAGTCTCAAGGTTCACAGTATAAAAGATCTACAGGATATTACTTGAGACGGGGATGGGGGGGGAGAATTTAAGAGTGTAGAAGAAACAAGAGGTATATTTCCTTATAACTTTTATCAGGGTGTTAGTAGGAGAACCTGCTTATGGTAAATCAGTACCCACAAGCATCTGCCGTGACTTTTCATGGGCATATAGGTAGTAGTGTTTACTCCTTGCCCACAGGAGACACAAGAGAAACTTGTAGTAGTTGGAGGAGAGTGTTTTTTCTTCTCCATACATACAAATGCTCAGTATCTTTTCTAGCTAACTAAGGAGCTCAGCATGCAGTGTGGGCACGCTTTTGTAATCTGAGGTGCAAAAGGAAAACTATAAACAAGTTCCTTTTCCTTCACAATTTAATGAGCATGAGACTTATTCTTACCAAGAATCTCAGCAACTGCTATACGGTTTTTCCTTCATTTCTAAGTCAAGATCTTTGACTTATAAGAACAACACTATTGCTTCTCTCTGACACATCCAAACTGCAGCATCTTAAAGTCTGTACTTGTGTGGACTATATGTGCTCCGAGGGTTACTTAAACAGAAGGCTAAGGACCAAGGGCAGGGATATGCTGCAAGAAAGGGGGCCTCGAATCCCAGCAGGACAACTGGAGAGTTCATGTCACCAGTCAGAGAGCCATGCACCTTACATCTTACTGTGTACTCTTCAAGTTTTCCACTTGTCATTTTGGAGCTGTGGCCGTGAGCACCATGGGTAAAGAGACTATGGCCGCCCTACTACTCACCAACACTGCCAAGTGCTCTACAGAGTAGTTCACCTGCACAGACAGTTTAGCCTGCATCGTTTTCTGTTTTTGTGTCAGTCAGCAATCATCCAACCACTCCGTGTGCTTCTACTGTACACTTCATAATCTCTTTACCTCCTTAAGCTCCAGGCTTAGTGTGCGGGGGTTTGTTGATATGCAGAACACCAACACTCCAACTACAGTTTCATTATTTCATGACTTTTGAGAATTGATGTCTCTAGCATCAATGTTTAAAATGATCGCCTACATTAAGAAAAATTACCCTAAACACAAAATCCTGGGTAGAACACAGCTAACACTCTTCTTTGTACCAAAACTCCCAATGTTTTTGCCTTTAGAAATGAAGTTACATGTCAAATAATCTAATCATTTTTGAAGATCAAAAGGTAAAATTACCCACATTGTCACAAATATTGACATTACTATTTTTTTTTTTAGACCAAATGCTCCAGATTTCAATTCTCTCTAGTCAAACCAAACACACATGCAATACTTCAATTACATCATAGGCACTTGATGCACTTAGGAACTGAGTTCGTTTTTAGTTCCAATGCCCCTTTAAACTTACCATCTGACATATCCTTGAGGATCAGATTCTCCAGCTCACTCCATTCAGTGTTCAGACGTTTCATTAACTTGAATGCATTTACAGGATGCCCAACAAACCCTTCGGGATCTTTTGTCGCTGTATTCGTTAGCCGGTCTAACTTCTCTGCCCATCTACAGATATCAGACATAAATGCAGTGACTAAAAGCCATGCACGGTTGCATATGCTTTTTTTGTTTCTGAAAGCAGACTTTTTTCCAACAATATATTCTGATTATGGCTTCCCTTTCCCTAATTCCTCCCCACTTCCCCACCCACCCAAATGTGGCACATTCTTTTAATCCCAGCACTCAGGGGACATAGACAAGTAGGTCTCTGTAAATTCAAGGCTAGCCTGGTCTACACAGTGAGTCCCTCCCCACCCCATAAAAAAGAGTGTACCAAGGAAAAATCAATCAAATAAAGTACTTGGGAAATGAGACTAATTATAAGCTTTTCACTTAAAAATACTGTCTACAATTTCTTTTTTAAAGTAAAAATACAAAGACTCTCTAAAACACAACATCATACAGATGAAAAAAAGAAAAAACAACTTAATGAATCAAAATACAACTTTTTTATTTTAGACTGTTTTTCCCAAATGGAATCTCATCTTAGACAATGCTAAAATTTAATCACTGAAATTTTTTATTTCCCCATAAGCCCTAAAAAGCTAAAATCACTATTATAATAAAATAAAAATAAATTGGCCCTGCCTAAATTCTACGAAGTATGTATTTAAAACACCTTATACGCTAAAAAAAAAATTTGTATTTTTTTTCTTATTTTTATGTTCTGTATGGTGTTTTGCCTTCATTAATGAATGTTTGCCTCATACATGCCTGGTGCCCGAGGAGGCCAGAAGAGGTATCAGATACCCTGGAACTGGAGTTACAGACAGTTGTGAGCCACCATGTGGGTGCTCAGAATTGAACCTGGGTCCTTTGAAGGCAAAGCTCTTAACTACTGAGCCATCTCTCTAACATCTTACACATGTCTTTCTTTTTAAGGACTGGATCTCACTATGTTACCACTCAGGCTAACCTTGAATTTTTGGGTTCAAGAATCTCTCTGTTTCACTCCCTTGAGTAGCAACAAGTCCTGATACATGCCATTGAGCCCAGCCTAATTTATAGTAATTATTCTTGTTGTCGTTGCATTGCTTTTTGAGACAAGGTCTTACTGTATTGTGCAGTCAAGACTGGCCTTCAGTTTGTGATCTTCCTGCCTCTACTCCCAGTGCTGGAATCATGTATGTGCAACTATATGCTAATTTACAGCAAATCTTTACACCATATGTAGAATATGAATTTTAAAACAGAAATATGAGCCATGTGGGCTAGTGCCAAGGACCAGCCTCAGCTTGGAGAGGGGTTCTGAGGAAGGGGTGTTTGGGAGCAGCAAAAGAACAACTCGAAGTCAGTCATGGATACAAGCTGACAGCTCTGCAGTCTGCTCAGGTTAGCTTTCTGCTTGAGACAGCTCTCACGTGATAGAAAAAACTTTAAAAGCTCTGTGTTTTCCAACCAAAGTCAGGAAAGCTTCTAGGAAAAATTCTAAGAGCTGTGTTAGATCTCTAAGTAATTCTTGAGTTTTCTGACCAAAGTTCCCTAAATCTCTTTATTTCCTTCCTTAGTATCTTTCTGGCAAGCTAGCTCATAGTGCAGTTGCCTCAGTTCTTTTAGGTCTGTGAAGCCCCTCATATAATTTATGTTGCATCCTTATAATTTTGCATAGTTGAGAAATCCTATTTTTTTAATTCATGTTTTCAGAGTTCTTTCCCACAGCCTTAAGGGCTGCCAGAAGGTCTCAGCATTTAACCATCTTGCTCAGGAACACTGGACACACCCTCACCTCCTGGACTCACGCTGTTTTCAGGGAGTCATTAACTTGGCAGGGAGAGCATTCCCCAAAGGAGGAACATAAAAATACGCACATTATTATACAAACAAGCCTCATGCCTAGGAACTGTCAACACTAGTGGAGGCCCATGCCCTGCTCCAGGATGGAAATGTGTTAGGCAGTTCCTTCTGCGTGGTCACGAAGGACTCAGCAGGGTAGTGCATACCTTTAATCCCAGCGTGCAACAGGTAAAGCAGGCCAATCTCAGTGTTTCAGGCCAGCCAGGGCTACACAACAAGACTGTCTTAAAACCTAATACATTAACACTAAGGGATTCATTTAACAAAGTACGAATTCTCAGGTCAGGAATAACTACAAACCTGAGTCATTAAAATTAACATTCAAGAAAATGAATATGGTTTTTATATTAGATATCACTAATCATACTTGTCACTATAAGTCCACAATGGAATCCCATGAGTAGAACTGGAAAACTGCTCTATCAGGAGGCTTACTGGACAGATTATGAAAGATATTAGCAGGGCTTCTATATACTCATCCATCCATATTCTTCTACTCTGTGATGGTTAATCTTGACTGTCAACATCATTAGATTACAAAGTAGCTCTTAAAGGGAGGGCTTTAGGTGTGTCTGTGAGGTGTTTTCAGAGAAGACCAACCCTGAATGTAGGCAGTACCTATACAGATTCGGGAAGGAGGAAGGCTAATAACCCCTCCATTCTCTACCTCTGCTCCCTAACTTTTGAGCTGCTCAGTTTGAATGAAATGAAAGTAGAACATCTGAACTGTGAGACAAAGTTTTTGTTAGGTTACTTTGTCACAGTAATGAAAAAAGCTAATTAGGGCCTAGGATAGTTCAGGTGCTAGAGTGTTTATCACACAAGGATGGATACTGAGTTCAGATCCCTGACATCCCCACCAACAGTTGTATTTGTCTGTAGTTCTAGAGTTGGGAGGAAGACTCCTGAAACATGGTGGCCAATTAGCCTTGCCAGATTCAGTGCAGAGACCTGTCTCAATAAATAAGAGAGTAATAGAGACAGGCATCTGCCATTCACCTTTGGCTTCCATGCACGTACGTATGTATCTGCAAACATAAACACACACGTATACTCAATACACAAGCTGACACACACCAACCCTGACCCAGGATTAACCCTTGTTTTCCCGTGCTTACTGCTTCAGACACTTTCCTGGCTTTCATTTCCACTCTATGCTTCAGTGCAAGAGAGAAAACCTCCAAACGGAGACAGAGCTATGGTAAGGAAGACACACTTACTTTTTGATTTGCTCTAACTTGTCCTCTTCTGCTTTAATATAATCTTTTAGTGATGTCACCAGGTCTTTTTCATTATGGATCAAGTCAGTCATCTGACCTACACGGGAAGAGGAAGGTTATTAAACAGTCATCAATATAAATCTTTTAGAATTCATTAGAAAGGTTTCATCCTGTAGGAGGATTTAACTGGAATGGAATAGGTACGTTGTAAAGGATCATTTTCCTTTTTTCCTTCCTTCCTTCCTTCCTTCCTTCCTTCCTTCCTTCCTTCCTTCCTT